TTTGGTGATGTTTGGTTACATGAACAAAGTTTACTATAGTTTCTGCCCTGCTATGCCAATTTTCTAACTACAAAGCCAACTTAAGTTCTTCGTGATTGTCAGTTTGGCACCCTTCTGCAGCAATATGTGTACTATAAAGCAGAATAAAGTGTTTGAAGCAAGAAAGGAGCTTTCTGTAGTAACATGGCAGAAAAAACTCCTCACATTAGATGAATTATTCACATGGCTGGCAAGGAGGGAAACTATAGCAAAACAGATATGCGGGATATGTGGAAGATGTTGGCAAAGAGAAGGAAGAGAGATTACTTCAGTTAGCTTATTTTCAGTAAACTATAGAGTCATTTAAAGCAGAGATTCCAGTTAGAAAAGGTAGCAGTGTTAACTGATATAGTTCTGGGGGACTTTTCTAAATTGGACTAAGAGTTTCAAATTCTTTGTGGAGATTATGGGTTTTAGCAGATGTAAAATGTGTGCCTAGGGTAGTCCTATTAACTGTTGCATAACCACGACTTCACATATTTTGCAGTACTTTAAGCAAAACATTCTAAACTAAGATGCTTAACTTGTGCATATGAACTTGAACTTTTCAAAGTACATAAATGCATCTATCTGTCATTTTCATTAATAGGATTTGGATTGTGGGCGGCTTTTGCAGCTTTTTTTTTTTTTTTTTTAAGAGAGAGAATTTTTTTTTCCTCAAGAATTTATCTTTTAATTCTTTATTGAAATGAAGCTAAAGTTTTTAGGTTGGAAGAGAGAAGAAGGGAAACAAATCTGGCAAAGAATGTCTTCATAAACATAATTGATTGCAAAATAGTTTTGTGGAGATATTTTATTTAGGATTAAATGCTTTTCTTGGTGAAACATAAGAGTCAGAAGCATCTTTTTAACAGGCTGTACATCACTCCCAGGTCAATACATTTCTAGGTTGAGAATCGAGATTTCTTTCCAGCAAAGCTAAATGCATACCCTTGTTCAGCAAAAAAAAAAAAAGGTAAGTCTATGTGGCGATTTTTGGCCATGCTTATGTGACGTCTTCATAGGAATGTTTTCATAAGCCTAGGAACTCATTTTTATACTTTAGAAAATATGCAGAGAATCATAGCCAAAATTACTTAATATCGGCTATTAATTTCTTCGGAAGAAATAGTTCTGTGCAACCGTCTGAAACATCTAAAACTCTTTAGGTTGGGCAGCTGAAGATTATATCACAAAGTTTAAGAAAATTTTAAAGTCGCTTGTCTGTTTTGTTTATTTTTTGTTGTTATTATCTATTTTGGAGGGTAAAGAAACCTGAAAGTAGAAGAAAATGAATAAGTTAGCTGCTGTAAAAATCCTTTAAGGAGTTCTTACTTAAGTGGCTAGTCTGTTGACTAATGTTGACCTAGAGCTGCTGTAATGAGTGCTAGCACTTAGTATGTCCTTCAAATTCAGTACTTCTATGGAAATTATATTTTCAGTTCTGGGAATCAGAGTAAGTTTGCTGCTTGTGCGTGGTATATCAGTCTTTTCGGGGTCAATTGGTGTGGTTTCTAACTACAATAAAAAAAATGAAAAAAAGCTATAAAATAGTTTTCTAATAAGCAAAAAATCAAAAGAACTTCCAACTGTTAAGCTGGAGCTTGATCACTTGCAAAAAGTGTTTTATAATATGATACCTGAAACATCAGGGAACTGGAATAAAGGACTCTGGTGATTACTTCTCAGTGTTATGTGCTTTTTATAGAGGGGCACAACTTTCTGGTAAAATTGGCAGAAATCAGTCTCATTAGGTATTGCCTCTTCCTGTTAATATTAACTAATCAGCTGACTTTTAAGATGTGGCTTACTGGCACTGCTGTAGATTACAGCGTATTAAAATCACCTGGTCTTAATTCTGAACCATTTTCTTTGGTGATAAACACTGTCGTTTAACTAGACTGCAGCCTGATTCAGTTGTCTAGTACCTGTTGATGAATTTGTTATCGAGAGTTGAAAAAAATAAAATTATAGTCATCATCTCACTAGGAAACCGTGTATATTGGAGAAGGGACGTCTGGAATAAGCTTTTTTGCTTGGGCTAGAATCAGATGTATACTGTTGCATAAAAACAAAACTCTAGAATCATGAGCTTTCTATAGAGTAAGCAACTTCATGATTTTTTCTTCCTTTTTTTAAGCCTATTTGGATTATTCCATATAGCTTGAAAAAGAGAAGAAAAGAACATTTCTAAACCAGTCTTGTTATTCAATATGCATACTTCATGCATTCGTATACACTTGAAGTTTTCAAGGCCTCTAATAAATCAAAAATGTTTTTCCTTATTCTATTATTGAAAAGATTTCTATTTCAAATAGGAGCTACTTCCCAATCATATTTCAGTTTTACCACCCAAATTACTCAGTCTTTGAACCCTGGTTATTATTTTTAAGAAGGAAAATGGTTTTGTTATTTTCAAATCTTTTTCTTTTCTTCTTTTTAACAAAATGCATTTAGTATGCTTCTCTTCAAACCTTTTAGATAACAGTAATCACAAAGGAGAAATTGAGAACTGACGAAGTCAGTTCTTGAAAGTTCAAGACTTTTAGTCTTGAAAGTTCAAGTTTAGGGAAGTTAAAATAAGAACTATTCTAATGAAAAGCTTGAGTAAATTTAACTGTTGCTGTCACAGTACATTTCAGTTGATTGCTAATGTATGTTTGCATATATATACGCAAAAACCTGATGAAATAACTTTAGTTACATATTCACTAGCAAAATAAAAAAGAAAACCCCTTTTTTCAGTATTAGTTATTATCGGAATACCATATGCAAGGACCATCAAATAAAAGATTTATTTTTTCATTTTGTTTAAATAAAAAAATACAATGTTGTAGTTATAACATATCCCATTTCAGTTCTAACTGACAGGAGTTGGAGGAGGAAAGTAGGAGGAAAATTGTTTTTGATCTTTTCTTGATTTTCTAACTCAAATAGAAAAGCTTATTAGAAATGAAAGATGTTTGTGAATGTGTATGAGTGAAGGTTTGTTAATGGCAGAGAAATAGAAAGGAAGGAACTACATGAGAACAGCATCTGGATATACTGGTGAAAAGCTCATATAAGAGAAAAAGAAGGAGCTGCAGCCATATCCAAACAGTCTTCTGTTTTGCCAGGAGAAGGACATACAGAAAAAAAAAAAAAAAAAAAAAGAGAGGAGACAACCTATTCAAATATATTTCTGTAGAGAGGCTTAATAAAACTCTGTATTTGTATATCTGGATACTGAACTGTTGTAAATTTTGGATGCTTGGTATTTATCTTTCACTAGTTGCTCAGGTTATAGTGGCTCAGCGACATACCCAAGATGTAGGTCTTCTCTAGTTCTTGATGTATGGATAGTGGTAAATCTTGAATGTGAATCAAAGGTGCAGTGATTAGTTTACAGACTGAGAAGTGAAAATACACGATTAGTAGCCTTACAAGGAGCAGCAGTCTATCTTACATATGATTTAAAAATATAAGTAGCTGACCACCAGATAACATGCAATCAATAGGCGATTCGCCATGTGGTCATTTTGTACAGGCAGTGCATGGCTAATATAGCATGATTAATAGAGCAGCACAAAGTTCCCAGGTCCCAGGAAACCAGGTGATGGATTGTATGTCCTGTGTGTTTGTCCCAGGAGAGGGGCACAAGCAGGTGATAGGCAATAACTGAGTGAACTGGAACAGCTGAAATCAGATGAAACCTATTTGGAAAGGCACTGTGAATGTGCATCCGCTCCTGGCACATCAGGTGGGAAAGCCCAACAATCAAGTGGCAAGTACAAGTGAAAGCACATTCATGTATTTATCTTTAAATGGGAGGGAATGATCACAAGGCAGCTTGTTATTTCTTTATAAATTTGTTTCTGAAAAAATGCTGAGCTTCTAAAGAAGTCATGCAAATAATTAGCGTGAATGTTATGAAGACAGCTGCTACACAAATCCTTTTCAAGCAGCCATTTAATCAGTCCTTTTACCAGAATACCATTTGAGTGAATTTCAGACACTACTTATTTTCTCTTTAATTTATAATCCCTGCCTTGTGCCTCCAAATTGCTCATAGCAGTTTAAAGGCAGATCAATCTTAAGGCTTCAAAGATATTTGTTTTCTCTTCTGAAACCCACAATCATGTACTTGGCATAAGCACCTATGTCATACCAAGTTAATTAGTAATAACAGATATGTAATTTTGCATACCCTATAGATAGAGGAGAACTAACTCCAGAAAAAATGACAGGAGATATTTGCACTACCTGATGAGTTTTTCTTTAGTATAATTCTTAATTGCCCTTTGCTTTGCTTCCTTATGCAATCATTATTAAGAAAAGCAGCTACATATTATTATGCCTGTCCCTGCAATCATATGTAGAGCTCTCAAAAAATGAAGAGCTGGAAATTGCTTTAAAATTTATATCATTGATGCTATTATAAGTTTTTCCTCTGATTTTAACAGGAGCAAACTCAAGCCTTTAGTATTACACTGAAGAGGGAAGATTAGATTTTATTTGGACAGCTAGTGAACAGGTCTCATTATATATTCGGAAAGGACAAAACTCAGGGATTTGTCAGCATTTTCACACATCTCCAGGCATCAGTTTCCCAAGCAGTGCCAAGCAGCATAATTGTGATGCACTGGAAATATGAACAGTCACAGGCAATTGGCATTCCCATCATTTGCAGGATGTTTAGTAGCAGCAACACTGAGGTATTTTTTAAAATACTCTTGTTACTAGATACTTACTTCTGAAAATGACTGTTCTTATTTTTAACGTTATCTCCATTGTGTTGATGTGTTAAATTATTGTATGTATGATATTTTCTACTTTTTATTAATAGATGCTGAGGAACAAGTGAGGAGCTGACAACTCTAGAATACTTTACACTGCTTCTATTTATATTCATTTATATATTAAAAAGAAAAACAGAAAAGTGGCAAATGCATAAACGATAATTATGACATATCTTTTCCTTTTTTTTTTTAAATATCATTTAGATACCAGCATGAATCAATATCAAGTCCATTGGTTACTGGAGTCCTGTGCACGCAATGACACCAAAGGACTCGGGAAAGTAACTGAGCTGACTTACGTAAGTCTCCACTGAGCCCTTTGCTGAATAGCTTCTGAGCAACAAGAGAAAGGATGCTTCTGTAACATTGTAGAGTATGTTTTATACCATATTTCATGAAAAAGCAAGAGTGTTTCATTTTCCTTTTGTGCAAAAGCTAAAAAACGAGATATTTAGCATCTTTATTTAAAGAAGACCCATAATAAGCTAAAATCTTTGCTCGTTGGATGTTGTTCAGAAGACAAGAGTAAGCAAACAACTTAAAGCCAAGTATCTATGTATTTATATAATATGTAGAACATGAAGTTTAATTCATAATTAAGATTGTAGCACAGTACAAATATTGAGCCATAATAGTAATCAATAAACTACATTTTCTTTTAGACATCCAGGTCAGTTTCATATCTCAAGGAGAATAATAGAGTAGGACAAAAATAGTGAAGAATATTAGACATTAAGTGTGGAAGCAGGACAGAAAACAGAACAGTAATTACAGCATCAGTATAAGCAGCGAAGTTCTATGTAAATACCTAAATTAGCCCCAAAATGTTTTACGATGGCAGTTTTTCATACTTAGTTTGTTGCCAGTGCCATCCTGTTCTGTAACACATTTTCAAACAACATACATCTGGTACATCACATTCAATTTAGTGAAGTATAAAGAACTAAAGAAAATATAATTCACCTTTCTTTCTTACCCTGACCTGTAACACCAGATCAAATCAGTGGAGCTAATGGTATTAAAAGTTGATTAAATCACAGCAAAATATTTCTTCTGCAGCAGGCTGTTAGATTTACCTCTTTGGGGGTCAACTAAGGAAATGTCAGAGATGAATTAAAAATGATTGTGACACAATATTATTATCAGTAACAATGCTTCAATTTATGCACATTGAAGATAGAAAAAAGTTAATATTCAATAAGTTTATTTCCACTAAGGGTCAAGAAATACTCATTATACATCTGGCCAAATACATTGTGGGGATGGTTCATTTCTTTCCTTTCAACAATTTTGCAATGATTAGTCCAATACAGGTACCATATTCAAATACTAAAATACAATCATTTGTACAGGAATGGAGTAGGTCTGTTTTTTGTTTGTTTGTGTGTTTGTTTTTTCCTTATAAAGAAAGTGAAAATAGTCTTGTCATTCTTTTAAATGGAAGTCTGTCCTGTTACAGTGTTTACCCAGCATGTGGAAGACAGGGAGTCAGTTCTATTCTCAACCCAATCTTTATGTCGCATTGAAAATATCCTCACAGATGAAGTTTAAATTAAGCTGATTTGGGATAGGCCTCCAAAAAAGAAAAGAGGTTTATGCAGAGGAAAGCTGGAAATTACTGCTTCTAGTGAGAAAGAAAGGTCTAAAAGTCTGTGAAAGACTTGGAACTATAGCAAGTAAGGTGTTATAGGACATTTTCCCAGAAAATACCTTATATTTTTCCCTTGAATTTGATTTATGCTAAAGCTTTCAAGCAGTGATTTTCAAAATTAGACTTTTTTTTTGTCTTCAGTTATTGCGTTTAGTTGGAGAATTATGTTTTGTAGTTTAGCTGTAGAGTTTTTCTCCCCTAACATGCCATGTAAGAAGGTCAAAGTACTTAAAGTACTGAAGGAAAAATAAACAGTGATTCATAATGCCATACTGGACTTCATATGCACTTTTAAAGTTGAACATAGACAAAGCCTGTCATTTACAGCAGCTTAAGTCAGCTTTCTTACATTTATTTAATTCGATTAGCATTTACATCCTCACATTGCTACCCCCACTGCCATCATGCCAGAGAGACTGTTAAAATGTTAGAAGTTAGTTGCTTTGATGCAGCATGGCTAAGGAACTGTGTAGAATTGAAGGACATTTCAACTACCATCCTAATATTTGACTGCTGTAAATAATCATAACATAAGCAGTGTTTGCTTCATTCTCTGAATAAAAGCTATGCTGGCATGTGTTAAACATATCAAGAAAATGATTTTTTTTGAGAAAACTTTTCATCTTCTGCCAGCATTATTTTTCTGTTTCTTTTTTGTTTGTTTGATTGTTGGTTTTTGTTTTGTTTTGTTTTGTTGAGGAATAGAGAGATCTGTTTACAGCATGTGCTCTTTTTCTTGTTCTAGGAAAACTACATCATTCTGAAGGACCTGTCATTTTCTTGCAAATACAAAGTAACTGTTTTGCCTGCAAAATCTAAAGGTCGTTTTAAGGCTGAGAGTGCTTTCTTTGTTACCCCACCTTGCTCTACATTTAAAGAGAAAAACCATAAGCAC